TTTTATTTTGTTTGTTTCATTTTTATTTAGTTACAGGATTTTTCTTATTTCTTTCTTGATTTCTTCTTTGACTTATTCATTATTCAGTAATGAGTAGCTTCATATCCATGAATTCGTCTCTCTACTAAAAATCCCAATAGCAATTTTCCCTCCCTCCCAGTCCCTTCCCTATCTCTCCCCCAGACTGACTTCTCCTCTGTTTCCCTTTAGAAAAGAGCAGGCCTCCCAGGGTTATCAACTGAACATGTCCTAACAAGTTACAATAAGACTAGGTACAAACCTTATATTAGAGCTGAGTGTGGCAAACCAGTAGGAGGAAAAGGGTCCCAAGAGCAGGAAAAAGAGTCAGAGAAACCCCCAATCCCACTGCTAGGAGTCCCACAAGAACACCAAGATACACAACCATAACATATGCAGAGCACTTGGCTCAGACCCATGCGGAGACCTTGATTGTTGCTTCAGTCTCTGTGAGCCCCTATGAGTACTGATTAGTTGATTATGTGTACCATATTCTTATTGTGTCCTTGACCCCTCTGGCTCCTACAATCCAGATTTCATTTCTTAATCCTTTTTAGTCAGCCTTTTATTAGAGAATATTGTCATTAATATTTAAAAGTTACTGTTGAAAAGTGTGTATGTTGACTGTAGTAATTTTGTTGTTGTTTGCCCTTTGTGCTCTTAATCCCATTTGTGTTTCAGTGATTATTTGTTTTTCTTCCACCATCTCTTAGCTGTGTTTGTTCCTCTCTTCATTAGAAGTATTCATTCCAGTATTCACTGAAGAACTGGCTTGGTAGACATGAATTCTATTAGCCTGTTCATATCATGGAAAGATTTTCATTCTCCTTCGACTATAACAGGGAGTCAAAGTCATCCATGGAGGCCGGGCGGTGGTGGCGCACGCCTTTAATCCCAGCACTTGGGAGGCAGAGTCAGGCGGATCTCTGTGAGTTCAAGGCCAGCCTGGTCTCCAAAGTGAGTTCCAGGAAAGGAGCAAAGCTACACAGAGACACCCTGTCTCAAAAAACCAAAAAAAGAAAAAAGAAAAAAAAAAGTCATCCATGATCTCAAATACAAGGAGTATATTGCTCCAGGACCTTCTGGATTTCAAAGATTCCATGAAACAATCAGCTGTTATTCTCAAGTTTTTGCCTTTATATGTGGCTTGTGTTGTTTTTTTTTTCTCTTCTAGCTTTCACTACACTCTCTTTGTTCTTCACATTTAGTGCTCTAACTATGATATGTCATGGGAAGTTTTTTTTTTTTTCCTAGTCCTTCCTATTTGGTATTCTGTATGATTCTTATATCTGCATAGGTTTATCTTTCCTGAAATGGGGGAAGTTTCTTTCTATGGTCTTGTTGAAGATCTGGTGTGTATTGACCTTCATCTTCTCTTTCATCTGTGCCTATAATAGAAGATTTGGTCTTTTGATAATATCCATTAGTTTCTACATGTTCACCCATTTTTTAAATTTTTGGAATACTCTTTGCATATGTTGTCTAAGTCTTCTACTTTATCTTTGAGTCTTTGTATTCTATCTTCTACTTGATCCATTCTACTTCTAAAGCCTTCCTTTGAGTTTCCTAAACAGGTTTTTGAGATTTTCACTTTCATCTTCATATCACCTTGAGTTCTCTTCACTATTTCTATCTCTTTGTTGAATTCAGTTTTCCAATTCTGGATTGTCATTTTGTTTCATTCCGGCTTGTGTTTGTGTTTTCTTGCACAAGACCCAGACAAGTAAACTCTTTGAGTTCATTCTCTTTAAGTTCATTGAGGTAGTTGTTTTTTACTTCTTTAGACTCTTTAATTCTTTGAGGTTTATAATTGTTAAACTAAATCTTTGGTCCTAGGGTTCATCTAGGTAATTCTCAGTGAAGAACCTTTCTATGGGACTGTTGAATTGGGAAGGGCAAATACTATCTTGAAAGAGATCAGTATCCCTAGCAAGCAGTTGTAGAGAACCAGGCATTAATTCCCTCCCTGGAAATCCAAATCTAATCAGAAATTCCTCAAATCAGCTGGGTGTGGTAGCATATGCCTTTAATCCCAGCACTCTGGAGGCAGAGTCAGGTGGATATTTGTGAGTTCTAGGCCAGCCTGGCTTACAAGTTAGTTCCAAGACATCCAGGGCTGTTACTCAGAGAAACCCTGTCTCAAAAAACAAAAAGGGTGGAGAGAGAGGAAAAAAGAAATTCCTCAAATCTAATCAGAAAGCAATTGATTACACTATAACCTTCCTGCAACTGTTGCACCAGTGAGAGTGTCTTGCCCCCCCCCCCCAGGTCACAACTGCAGCATTCAGGGTTCCACCAGGTAATAACATTTATAGATTTTCTCCCCCAGTGGCCTCATAACACCTAGTACTATGAAAGCTAGCCAGGATGGAAGAAGCTGAATGTCTGTTCCAACTTGGTTTCCCTACATCCTGTAACAAAAGTATGTTGTGTCTTCAGCAACAGGGTCTTAACTGTAGTTCTGGTAGACCACCAAGAGCAACAGCAACAGGCTTTGCTGGTTTTGGAGTCTCTGCATCCTCCCTGACCAGTAACTCTCAGGGAGGTACTCCATGCTTGGCACTGGGGTTTCCATTTAATAACCCATGTCTTCTGAGGAAAGCACAGTGCACCCATTACTCACTAGCCTACATTTATTTAAATTATATTTTTGATTAGCTTACAAAGCGGTGTGTGTTCATATCATCTTTCAAACATAGTTAGTTTTGGTTTACCCATCCCACCCACTCCTCTCCCCTGTCACAGAATCCTTATCTTCACTTCGACCTTGAACCCCATTTTCATATCACAAGTGTTCTCAACCCACACCAGTTAAGATCCCTTACTCTACCCCTCTTTGGGGCTCATTATAGTTTCCTGTTCTCTAGAGACACTCCAAATATGTCTCACATGGTCCCAGCTCTAGATGAAAAACTACAGGCAATTAATTGATGCTGAGATAGAGACTCAGTCTTCTCCAGAGATGAGTCCCTCATAGGTTATCAAAGCTCAAGAGGTCAACATTAAACATATAACAGCAGCACTAAATGGACTCAAGAGAATGTATGTATTTATTCATGTATGTATGCATGCATGCATGTATGTATGTATTTAGCTATTGTAAGTAAATTGGTGGCAACTCTGTGGGTTTGGTCCCAGGTTTTGGCACCAAAAATATAAGTAAATTGGTTGCAACTCTATGGGTTTGGTTCCAGGTATCAGCACCAACAATGTAAGTAAATTGGTTGCAACAACTCTGGGTTTGGTCCCGGATTTTGGCACCAAAATGTGAGTTTTGCAACTCTGGGAAAGATGTCCTACCTGGGGAGTCAGGTAACACCTTGAGCTGCTTAGGACAGCTCTGACAGCTGAAGCTTCAAGGAGACAGCTCAGTCCTTGAGGGCGAAGTATCCTGGACACCTCGAGCTGCTCAGAACAACAGCTCTGCCTTGAAGGTATCCCGGACACCTGGAGCTGTTTAGCACAGCTCTGACAGCTAGAACTGCAAAGAAGCAGCCCAACCATGGAAGGGAAATTTTTCTGACTTCTCAGGAAAGCCAGGCCTGGAACTGATGGGGGATGGTCTTCCCACAGGATATAGCAATCCGGCTCCTCTCCTGGAGAGCCACTACAGCTGAGCTTTGCTCAGTCCCCTTTTAAGGAGGCTTCCTAGCAGAGCTCTACTTCTCTGGCTTAAGATGTTGCTTCTTTTGCTTCACTCTGCAAAAGGGGAAACCCCTGTAGAAATGTAGCAATCTCCTCCTGATCCAGAAATAAGTTTTACTTTTCAGCTCTCTCTTGCTCTGCCACTGAGGGATATCTCAGCAAAGATCTTCTGTTCAGCTCCTCCTTGATCTGCTCTTTCAGCTCTCCCTTGTTTTGTCCACTGAGGGACTTCTCTGCAGGATCTTCTCTATGCCAGTGAATGAAGATCTTCACACCCAAAACTCTTTTGAGAAAGAGATTTATTTGGGAAGGAGGAATCCAGGAGAGTAGCTGCCTCTACCAGGGTGGAGAGAACAGCCTTTTCTAACTGACCAGGCGGGGTGGTTTACACAGGATGTCTTGGGTATGAAGTCAACCCCAGGCCCAGGGTTCTACTGTCCTGCTCTGTAATTGGTTGGTTTCACAAGTCAGTTGGCCAGGGGCAGAGATGGCTCTGATCTGACTGAGCCAAACTATGTTTCTTTCTGCCCTTATTGGAGCCATCTTTCCCTAGTTCTGGGCTCTGGGCTCCAGGGTCAGGGTGGGTTTCTTTAGCCAGCCCCTTTTCCCTACATTCCCCCCCTTTTTTGTTTAGTAATAAGCAGCTCGGGATTGGAAAGGGGGTGAAGTTATTATTAGACTGCTTCCTGCTGAAATGGGGCATTGAGGTTCTTGGGACAATCTTGATCTTCTTCCTCAGGATGTAACCAGGTTCTGCAGATCTCTGGCTTTGTCAATAGGGGCTGGTAATCCTGTAATATTAACTGGCTCAGAGTTTGGTTAGAAATACTTTGGATCTGTTGCTGAAGAAAACTAGCAAAGAGGTTTATGAAGCAGGGTGCAATTAGTAGGGATAAGAAAAAGAAGAAAAGAGGGGATAAGAAGGGTAGCATCAATTTCCATATCTGACTATTAGTGACCCACTGTCTAGGGGTATCAAGCTGCTTCTGAGTTTGAAGATCCATTTGGAGTTGTTGGATCTTATCTTTCACTACCCCTGATTGATTGACATAAAAACAACATTCTTCTCCAAGAAAGAGACAAAGACCACCTCTTTCTGCTGTTAATAAATCTAATCCTCTCCAGTTTTGCAGTACTATGGTGGCCACTGACTCTATTTGTTCCTAAAGATAGTCTGAGCTACCTGTTGGAAGTCCTGGATGAACTGTGAAGAAAGCTGATGGTAAATAGCTAAGGAAGTAGTCAGTCCTGCTGTTCCAGTGGCTATACCTGCAGTTATGCCCAGGGCTGCTAGAAAGGGTATTATTTGGATGGCTTGTTTGTCATGCCTCACTGCTATGAACTTGGTGATGGGAATTGGCAAGGGTTCTTCACCAGGTACCACCCCTAATTTAGTAAACAGGAATACCAGGGCACAAGTCCCAGACCACCTAGCAGGTAAGCAGTGATAAACTTGAGTATCACAGAGAATAGAGGCATTGTGAATGTTTGGACATAGGGGCTGGGTGATAGTACCAAGGATAATGGTATTTTTGCAGTCTGCAGAATCCAGAGTACCCATAAAGTATGTTCCTAAGGAGTTAAAGCAGTCTGTAATGCCAAAGAGAGAAATTCAACAGAGATAAGGGGCAGTAGTGACATTTGGCTTGGAGCAATTAACAAGTGGTAAGGTGAGAGACTCTAATAGGACAATGGGTGAGGCCACAAATGGTGGGTATTTGACCTTGGGGGGACACACAACCAGCATTCTCCAAAATAGTCAGCCTAAGCATCATTCAATAGCTGATATGCAGTTGTTAGGGTCTGAAACAAGCGATGATGTGACAAGGAGGTGGAATCAAAAAAGGGGTGACATTAAGGATGTAAGAGCCTTTGAGGAGCTTGGACCACTTCTACTCTATCCATTCCTAGGGGTTGAAAGAGTGGAATGTGTGCCCTCTATATTTTGAGCATATCTGGTGGGTGGATTTGATAGATGGTATAGTAAAGTTTCCCAATGATTTCCAGTTGGAATGCCATGGGTCCTTAATCAGAATGTAAAAGATTCCCCATTCTTCATAACAGGCAGATTGTTTTCTTGCATATGCATTATGTTTCCAGCAGTCTCCAGACCCTACCATATGAGGGGGCTGGTTGAACTGCTGGGCACTGGTCTCCTGAACCTTAAATCTCCAAATGTAGAGATTGATAGCAATATGAGTGAGTGGGAAGATGTAGAAGGAGAAGAGGTAGGGTATGACCTGATAGGGTGGGGCATGAGCCTTGACAGGTTGATAAGATCTCAATATTCTGAGACCAGAGGCAGGCTGCTCTGTATATAGTTTTTGGGGTTGTCTCTTTCCTAGTTGACAAGCATGGGTTAGAACTATCAAATCAGCCTGCTGATTTGTGGTATGGGCTGGAAGAGCTTGTGTTTTGACCACTATGGTGTCTGAGACGATTGTATATCCTACTCCACATACTCCTTCTTATAGGAAGGCGCTGCCATCTGTATACCATGTATAAGTGGCCTGAGGTAGTGCGCCTTCCTGCATATGTATTGGATACGGTAGTAACTCTCCTAGGGTCTCAATGCATGAGTGTGATGGGGAGTATTCCAGGACTGGTTGGAAGAGAAGAAATTTGAAATGTTAAGAGGTGGATATGGTTGAAAAGTTAGTGCTGTGTCCTCTGCCAATGCCACCTGAAGGGAGAGAACTTGAGAGGGAGGTAATGTTTGAGGGTCCTTATATGTTAAAAGGTGTGACAGATGGTGAGGAGAAAAGACAGTAATGGGGGACCCAAAGGTTAACTTCTTAAGGAGAAGTTTTCCATATGGGGTCTCAGGCTACAGGTTGGTACATTGTGAGAGGGCCTTTGTAAAGCAGTTGAGGAATTCAGATGGGTTTTCAGTTTTTTCCTGGATGACCCTTTGGACTTTTTTTTTTTTTTTTATAATTTATTGTTTTAAGGGCAGCCCTGTGGAGACCAACTAGGAGACAAGTTACAAATCTATTCCTAGCTAGAATGTCTCCTGGGTTATTGTAATCCCATCCAGGCTCCTGGTCTGGGACTGCCACTGGGTAGGTGTTATCTATTGGATGGGGTTTATTTGCATGAGCGCTAGCCTGTCCCAGACTTGCCTACATTCTTCTGAGAGAAGGTCATTGGTAAGGATCATATAAATATGTAAGAATCATATAAATATCGTGAAAGGTAAGGTCATAGGATTGGGTAATGTACTGGAAATCTTTAATAAAAGTGGAAGAATTGGCAGTCTAGGACCCTATCCTTTTTTCTGTTTGGGAGAGCTCAGATAATGAGAAGGGTACATTTACTCTGACTAACCCATCCACGCCAGCAACTTCTCGCAAAGGGAGAACTGGGGCTAGTTTAGATTGGGGAGGTATAGGAAGGTCCCAAGGTAGAGCGGGAACGAGTAGCAGGACGACTAGGGGTTTAGGCAAATTGAAAGTGGGTGCCAGGGAGAGTTGACCTGGTGGATGACCTGTTTCTGAGGAGGGAGAAAGGGAAACTGAAGGGACTGGAAAAGAGGAAGCTGTGGCCTTTGGCTTTGGTTTACAAGGTGGAGGCTCATTAGCTGAATCAAAAGAAATTGTTTCATCCTGTTCTGACTTCCTAGCTGGCAAGAGCTGGGTTGGGGAACAGGAGGCACAGAGAGAAGGCTTGGAGTGAAGGTAAGAGAAGGCTTTTACATATGGTATCTAGTGTTAGATTTATTGTGTGGTGAATGGTGGAGCAGGTTACATCAAGAGCAAGTGTGTTAGTGTGTTTTCCACTAGTAGGACAGAAAACAGAGACTGGGTAACTTTTGTTATTATTGGTTTTTTTTAAAGATTTATTTATTTATTGTGTATACAGTGCTCTGTTTGTGTGTATCTCTGCAGGCCCAAAGAGGGAACCAGATCTCATTACAGATGGTTTTCAGCCACCATGTGGTTGCTGGGAATTGAACTCAGGACCTTTGGAAGAACAGCCAGTGCTCTTAACCTCTGAGCCATTTCTCCAGCCCTATTGTTGTTTTTTGATTGATTGACAGATTGACTGACTGATTGACTGATTAATTGATTGATTGGTTGATTGGTTGATTGATTGATTGATGACTGTAGGTTAGGAAGTTTCCAAACTCACCATATGGAAAAGCTGGCACTAAGCACCTGATTCTCCTGCCTGTCTTCTGAGTGATGAATTACAGGACTACACCACCATGCAAAGTGGTTTTTGGTTTTTGTTGTATGTTTGTTTAGAACAAGTATATTGAATTGTAGTTCTGGAGTCGGGAAGTCCAGTAGAGACTATGACCACCCAGCTTTAAAAAAAAAAAAAACAAGCTTGCCCATTCCTAAAAGAAAAGTATTGATCAATTAATAAGGGCCCTGCCCCCATGTCTCCAAACATTCACCCTAGATCATTTTCCCCATACTGCTTGCTACATTGGCAACTTCTACATGAGTTTCAGGGAGGACAAAAGATATCCAAACAATAGTCACAAACAAGGCTTATTGTTACCAATGATATCCGGAAGGCCGTGCAAAATAAGTCGGGGGATTGCCAGTCCTGGGGACAGGAACAAATCCATGTCCTGAACATAAACTCTAAGGCCAATCCCAAGACCATCCCAACAGACCAAGAATCCCAGGACTTATAAAATGAAGTTGTAAGGACTGCAAAGGTGGGGACCAATGTGATCCTTCAGGAGCAGACATTGACTCCATTGTCTGTAATATCCCAGTACTCCATGGCCTCCTACAGGGATAGACCACAACCCCCAAATTACAGATGAGAAAGCCAAAGCTCAGTGGAGCCACTGAATCATACCATAGACTGAACAAAGACATAGTTGTGTCTGTGAGCTCGCCATTTATTCTCAGCCCCCAAAGCAGGTCTGGTACAGAATAAGACATTGATAAGTATCTGGTGTATAGATGAAGGTCACACAGCATTATTATAGATCAAATGAATACTTGAACCAGAATCTTGAACTCTAAGCTCACATTCTTTGCACTGCACTGTTCAAAATGACCCAGTGCCCACAGTCAGTCTGTTGCACAGCTTAGACAGATACTTAAGCTTATCCGATTATTGAGTGAAAAGAAGGAGGAAAGAAAGGAATGAAAGAATAAACTACTGTGTACACCTCTGCTTCATCTTTCTCTCCTTTATTTAGGAATCACTCCAGAAGTACATCAGAACCAGGAAAGTGATGACTTTTATCCTATAGAGACATTGAAAACAGAGGATTTGCTCCAAAATTTCACACAGCTACTACTTCTACAAAAATCTTGCCCAAGAGGCTGGAAGACTTTGGAAAAGAAAAGTTGCCATCAATATGTAGCAGAAGAGAAAGGACATCTGATTGAGATCCAAGACATATTTCATCCAAGCCCAGATATGCAGGAAGAGCCTCAACTAGTCATATTAGAGGGGGCTGCTGGGATTGGGAAGTCAACACTGGCCAGGCAGGTGAGGAGAGCATGGGAGGAAGGCCAGCTCTACAGGAATCGCTTCCAGCATGTCTTCTACTTCAGCTGCAGAGAGCTGGCCCAGTACAAGCAGCTGAGTCTGGCTGAGCTCATAGCAAAAGACCAGACTGTGCCTGTAGCTCCCATCAGGAAGATTCTGTCTCAGCCCAAGAAGCTGCTCTTTATCCTGGATGGCATAGATGAGCCAGCATGGGTCTTGGAGGAGCAGAATACTGAGGTCTGTCTGCACTGGAGCCAGCCACAGCCTGTGCACAGACTGCTGGGCAGTTTGCTGGGGAAATCTATACTTCCTGGGGCTTCCTTGCTGCTCACAGCTCGGACCACAGATCTACAGAAGTTCATTCCTTCCTTGTGGCAGCCACGTTGGGTGGAAGTCCTGGGTTTCTCTGAGTCTGGATGGAAGGAATATTTCAACAAATATTTTTCAAAGAAAAGAAAAGCAATGGAAGCTTTGAGATTGATTGACTTAAACCCAATGCTCTCAACACTGTGTCTGGTGCCCTGGGTATCCTGGCTGGTCTGCACTTGCCTGAAGCAGCAGATGGAGCAGGGAAGAGACCTCTCACTGACCTCACAGACAACCACAGCCCTCTGCCTGAAATACCTTTCCCAAACACTTCCAGATCATGCCCTGGGAACCCATCTCAGAGGTCTCTGCTCACTGGCTGCTGAGGGGATCTGCAAAAGAAGGACTCTGTTCAGTGAGAGAGATCTCTGGGAGCAAGGGTTATCTAACGATGTTATTGCCCTTTTCCTGAAGATGGGTGTCCTTCAAAACCAGCCCAGCTCTTTGAGCTACAGTTTTGCCCACTTGTGTCTCCAGGAGTTCTTTGCAGCGATGTCCTGCATCTTGGGGAATAATGAGGAGAAATGTGGTGATACGAAAATCTACAGAATTGTGGAAACAGTGATAGAAGTGTATGGAAGGCAAGACCTGTTTGAGGCACCCACCATATGCTTCCTGTTTGGCCTTTTGAGTGAACAAGGTGTGAATGAAATGGAGAAGATCTTCACCACCCACTTGTCTCTGAACACCCTATGGGAAATTCTGGATAAAGCCAGGGCATTGCCCCAGCACCAGCATCTCTATTCTCTGGGGTTGTTTCATTGTTTGTATGAGATTCAGAAAGAAGAGCTCCTAACACAGGTGATGCACAATCTTCAAAAAGAAAAGGCGTGTGACCCAACAGATATGACACACCCAGTGTTCCAGACAAATGTGAAGCACCTGGTGGTCCAGACAGACTTGGAGCTCATGGTGGTCACTTTCTGCATTAAGTACTGCCACCATGTGAAGAGGCTTCAGCTGAATGGGGGTGAACAGCACGGACAAACACTGACGGCCCCCAGGATGGTACTGTGAGTATCCAGACACAGCCCTCTCTCTCCAGCTGCTCCCATGACCACACATATTCTGAGCACCATCAACACTCTTAGCTGGTTCCAGGGCAGCAGGATACAGGTTACCAGTGACATCTAATTGCTGAATCTGACCACCTTTCTCTATTTGCCTCTGTGTGCCTGACTATATGTTGTTGCTATGAGCCTTTATCTTTCCCTATGCCTCAGTAAGGATCACCTACATTCTCTGATTCAAATTATCTTCACCATTCACAAGGTTCAAATGGCCCACAATTACTGGTCCTCTCTCTTATCATGTGATATCTCTGAGGAACTGCTCATTCAGCTCCTGCATGCACCATCTTCCTTGCCCATGACTGTGACTGTGACCTTGGCCATGAGGTCTTGTGCCATCACCTCAGAAATCATATGTATGAGAATCCCTATGTTTTCACTACCCAGCTTGTATCCATGAAGGCATTCAGACCCCGGCACTCAGGCTGACTTCCTACTTTCATGCCAACCCCAGTAGCAAGGTAAACTTCCCCTTCCACTGTGCTGTATTGGTGACTCAGTACCAGAATGTGTCTCTCTCCCCTCTAGATGATTCACATCATCAATATTCATTGAGCACTCATTTCATGGCAGGCCCGACCAATCAATTACAGGAGGAAAAGTACAGGTGCTGCCATGAGGACGTCAAAAGGTGGAGCTAAGGCAGTCAAGTACACTAATTACGTAGGGTGTGACTCTTGCATTGATCAGGCACACACCGGGTATCAGGGAAGGGAATGCTCACTCAAGTGGACCAGAAAGGGAGAGATTCTCTGAGGAAGAGATGTTTTTTTCTTTGAGTCTTCTGTTTCTACACATTGAAGCTTTTCCCCCAGATAACCTGATCTGGGCTTGGCCAGCAGACATTTGAAATCCCATCATTCTGGTGGCTAACACTGGAAGATTTCTAGAGTTCTGGCTTTGGCACCAGTCTGAACAACACACAAAAGCCCACATGAAAAGTAAATGACTTAAAAGTCATGGAGCAGCTGTCAGAGAACAGGAAGGGGAAGAAAAGTAGAGAGAGAATGGGTCAGAGAGCACAGACGTGATCAAACTGTGTCACACACGAACGGGAGGTTGTCCCAGTGGCTCATTGTATGTGACTAGTAGGACCTAGTTAAAAACATACTCGTTGTAGAAGAGTGAGATATATCAATTATCAAAACAAAATTGTAGCTTGAGTTTCCCTGCCTGGCCCACAGTCAGGACAAATCTCTCTCACCTACCAGTCCCACAGCCACTCAAACCCAACCAAGTAAACACAGAGACTTATATTGGTTACAAACTGTATGGCCGTGGCAGGCTTCTTGCTAACTGTTCTTACAGCTTAAATTAATCCATTTCCATTAATCTATACCTTGCCACATGGCTCGTGGCTTACCGGCATCTTCACATGCTGTTTCTCATCGTGGCGGCTGGCAGTGTCTCTCTGACTCAGCCTTCCACTTCCCAGCTCTATTCTCCTCCTTGTCCCACCTATACTTCCTGCCTAACCACTGGCCAATCAGTGTTTTATTTATTGACTAATTAGCAATATATTTGCCATACAGAACATCCCACAGCACTTCCCCCTTTTTTTTTTCCAAAAAGGAAGGTTTTAACCTTAACAAAGTAAAATTACATATAATTTGGGAATTTGGGCGTAGCTTCTCTTACTACTTCCTGCTGGAGGGGGGCGCTGTATCTTATGGGGACACAAAGAAAATTTTAGGATTATGGAATAGTCCATGAGGGTGTATCGTCTGAGCCAGTTGCCTTCAAACCATTCTGGATGTTGGATCATCTGGGCCTTGGTGTCATTGGAGACCTTTCAGGGGGTCTTGGCTGGTTAAACCTGATGTATCTTAATCTGGAACAAATCCATAGCCTCTTGCTTTCTGTGGAAACAAGAGACTCTTTTCCAAAGCAGCATATCCTTATATCCAAATTTTGAAGTCAAGGTATCTTTAAAATATACATATTGGTTTAACTCAACATCTTATACGATCAAATGTTTTTCTGCAGTTAAAAATCCCAAAGACAACACAATCCAGATTCTCTGTGTAATATTCATCTTCATGTGGTTTATTTTTTATATTAATTTTACTGTCTCTTTAAAGACTTTATTTTTTAAAACTATGTATTTGTTTATATAACTGTATATATCACCTTTTTTGTCTCTTTTAAGTCTACGTATATTTTATACACATTTAAAACTATTACATCTGAATCTGTCTTATTGTGAATCTATTGCTTTAAGCTGCAGCAGCTGTGGCTGCTGACTCTGCCCACCTCAGCTTCCCAACATGGCCCTGGTACTTTACTACCAGCTCTGGGAGCTATCGTGGGTCTATGCTTTTATCCAAGCAGCATGTAGCCCAGAAAACTCTTTTTTTTTTTTTTTTGTACTATTTGTACTAGCAAAGACTAAATCCACCATTCAGCTTAATGTGCCACTTGCAGAGGTCTCATTCCCGCCATACGGCAGCAGGTGGAGCACACAAGCTAGGAACCCGCCAGTAGCTCAAACCAGCAGCTGCCGCTCATTTGAGAGAGACAATTAGGAACTATTTTTAGCTCTGTTTTAGAATCTTTTTTCTCAGTTTTTAGGTGGAAACTCTTGCCACCACATTGGATGCCATTTGTAGCTAGAGTTTCCCTGCCTGGCCCACAGTCAGGACAAATCTCTCTCAACTGCCAGTCCCACAGCCATCAGACCCGACCAAGTAAACACAGAGACTTATATTGGTTACAAACTGTATGGCCGTGGCAGGCTTCTTGCTAACTGTTCTTACAGCTTAAATTAGTCCATTTCCATTAATCTATACCTTGCCACATGGCTCGTGGCTTACCGGCATCTTCACATGCTGTTTCTCATCATGGCGGTGGCTGGCAGTGTCTCTCTGACTCAACCTTCCACTTCCCAGCTTTATTCTCCTCCTTGTCCCGCCTACACTTCCTGCCTAGCCAGTGGCCAATCAGTGTTTTATTTATTGACAATTTGGCAACACATTTGCCATACAGAACATCCCACAGCACAAAATAAATTAGTATCCTCCAGAATTTCATTTCTCAGACAGGACAGTATTAAAATTTGGGTTAACTGAGCTTGGTCACGCACACCTGTCATCCCAAACTCAGAAGGCTGAGGCAAGAAGACCAGTAGTCCCAGTCCAGCCTGGGCTACATAGTGTGACACTGTCTCAAAATATTGATGGCTAAGGATGGAACTCATTGCCTAGTGTTGGTTAATTTTCTGTTGCTGTGATAGAACACCATGGCCAAGGCAACTTATAGAAGAGTTTATTTGGGTTTATGGTTCCAGAAGGATCAGGGTCCATCCTGGCAGAGGGAACAGCTGTGACTGGAGCTCCAGCTGAGAGATCATTCTTGAACCACAAGCAGGAAACAGAAGGGGTGTATGAGGAATGGCTCAAGACTTTGGAACTTAAATCCTTCCTCCTGTAACATACTTCCTTACACAAAGCCATACCTCCAAAGTTTTCTTAAATAGTACCACCAATTGAAGACAAAGCATTCAAATACCCATGACTCTTGGTCACATCTCATTCAAAACACCACAGTTAGGAATCCCAAGACCCTAGATTTTATACAAAGCATGAAGTAAAGAATTGGAGTATACCCATTAATCTTTTTTTCTATATACTTTTCTACAATATAACTAAGCCACACAGTGTCTTATACTCATGGTTATATTCTTAATGAATTTAGACTGTCTTCTCTGGTTACTAAAGGTCTAGTTAACATTCTGAATAACATTACGATATTCCCTAGGGAGCATATCTTGGCCAATTGGACCATTTTTCTGTTCTTAGCCATTTAAGGTTGTTACTAAATGTCTATAGTTATATACAAGTGTGCCTTGGATGATCTTGAAACTGATGTTGCAAGCAGAAGTGGTCTGATGTGGACCTTCAGAAGAATTCTAAGAAGGTACAGAGACAGACCAGCCACAGCAAGAGAAACCAGGAACACCATCTAGCTTGCAAAGGACAGTGGCCTTAGGATCCTGGGACAAACCTGTGAGAAAAAGAGAGGCTTCATCTGCTAGAGAGAGGGAAAGTTGAGAGGAAATGTCAGCCAGACAAGGCAGGGAGACAAGCAGGAGGCAATTGCACACAAGGGAAACACTTCAGAGGTGGAGACTGTCCAAAGCCAAGAGAAGGGAAAGGACCAGCCCAGGGAATTAAGGTATCAAAGATGGCAAGGTGAGCAATTTCTGTGTGGGGCTCCTAATGGCACCTCTTATTTTTTGAATAATACACTCTGAAGTTCCACTTTCAGTCAGTGCAAATACTAACCATGCATCAAAACGATCATACTTTGAGAGCTGGGGGAGTGGTTCTATGTTTAAGACCACTTGCTGGTCTTGTAGAGAATGTGGATCCATTCCCAGTTCCCACAACTGATGGCTCACAACCGCCTTTAACAATAGTCTCAGAGGATCCAAGACCCTGATTCTATCCTCTGCAGGTTTCTGCATGTACAGAGTGCACACAGACAGAGAAGAATACAAATGTGCAAATAAAGTAAAAAATAAATAAAGCCTTTAAAAAAGCACCATCCTTCAAAGTTTAATATTTGGTTTCCTTGACATTTCTTTGGTTTTGTACAATTGGAATGAAATATCCTATACTTTTTATTACAGTTAAAGGTAGCCACTTTTCATCAGTGTTTCTGGGGTTGTGTTTTTTTGAGTTTGTTATTTTGTTCTGTTTGTAGTGTTTGGGATAGAGTGTTGCACAGGCCAGGCTTGGAGCTGCTCCTAGCCTCTTAAGTTTGTAGCTTAGGCTGGCCTAGAACTCACTATTTTCCTGACTTCATGTGCTTGGTTTTTCACATAAAAGGAATACACTACCACTCTGAGCTGATCTCTCTCTCTCTCTCTCTCTCTCTCTCTCTCTCTCTCTCTCTCTCTCTCTCTCTCTCTCTTCTCATTCTCTCTCCCTTCTCTGCAGTCT